AGCACAAAGGGAATCAGAGAATGTTGAATCTGTTCAACAAACAGAAACCCCTGCATACCCACACGCGGAAATATAAACCTCAGCCTCATCATTTATACACCCAGTAAATCAAAGAGTTTCAGAAGTAAGCATCAATTACACAATAATATGCTTTTCAGAAGACACTGAACAAAAATGCCTTCAGGACCACAGAAGAGGTATCACCATGTCTTGAACGAAAACCATGATGCACAAATCCACATACAAACAGACATGCACACAAATAATTTAAAATAAAATATTTAAAATCTGGACTTCAAAGGAAAAATGCCAGTCTTACTATATGCTAACTAATACCTCCAAATGACAGATATTTCATGGGTACCTCATCTTTTTCTTTCAGAATACCTGGACTGGAGGAGTCTCAAACAACTGCCCCTCTGTATCTCGGCCTGCCTGCCTCGCTCTCCCTCTTTAAATGCTAAATTGAATTGTAAGAATGGTACCTCAGGCCCTGTCATTTTAGCAAATTTGGAAATCAAGAAGTCAGTAGTTTCTTTAACACGCACAGAATACTTAGAATGTCTCATAACTGAAGGAAACTCAGAACAATATTAGAAGGATATCAAGCCATATGAGTTGACTTTTTACACATACAAACTAAAACAAATGTCCTAGGAAGGGAGACTCTTAGGATTTCGTCATTGAAAGCCCTGGCTCGTGTAGTTCTATCCCGAGGGCCATCACCACCCCACACAGATACTTAGGTGTGAAGCATGTAGAGGAGGATCCTCAGATTGAGAATTATCCATCGAGAATCAATTGCCAATTGAGATTCACAGATCTGATCAGTTTTCACAAGTCACAGAGACACTCCCAGGATATTTCTTCCTTTAGAAAGCCAGTTCTCACAGGAAGAAAGTAAGTCTCACAAATACCTTTTAATCAAGAAATTGCCTAGACTTCAGAAACATCAAATCACAACAAGGTAGCATTTTAATCATATTTTGTTCTCCCCCTCGCTCCCTATTTCTGTGAACTATTTCCAGTCAAATAACACCACCACAAAATGATCATGAAGTTACTCATGAACCTCTCTAGAGGTATTAAATACAAGGAAGCCCACAAATGTCCTGTTTAGGATGTGGAGAGCAACTAGAGGAAAAAATACGACTTCCCATTCTGCATCTTGTTTCATCAACTGTCTCTTACCTCAGCAGGATACAGACCTTATACCAAACTTCAGCTCAAATTAAGGCAACCTCCTGTTTCCTCCTCCTCCTGCTCCTCCTCCTCCTCCACCACCACTACCACAACCACCACCACCACCATCGCCATCATCATCATCATCATCATCATCACCACCACTACCATCATCATCTCACATAGCTTATAAAGAATTGGAAGACATGATGGCTGGACATGAACAGACCCAAAATGTTTATTGGTCAAAGTTTCTGTTTGGTAGTGTACTGTTTGACCATTGTGGTGGTCATTGTTATGTGTTGCGGTGGGTAGGCTGTGATGCCTGGTTAATCACACACTAGCCTAAGTATTTCTGTGAAGCTATTTCCAGACTGAGAAACTTTTGCTACTATTAGACTTTAAGTGACACATGTTATCTTTCATTGTGTGAATGGACTTCATCACCTCAGGCAAAGTCTGAAGCTTGTCCCAGGGTGTAGGTAATTCAGTCTCCTGACCCCAACACACACACTCTGTCTGATTTTAGAGCATTCTAGTCTGCCTGCTGAATTCAGGCTCAAAATTACAACATCAATTCTTTTTTATTTAAATTCCACATGTTTCGCTTATTTTACATACCGACTATAACATCAACTCCCAAATGAATACTATCCAACCAAACCACTTGACCTCCAGATTATGCACTTGCCAGAATTCACATCGCAGTGGAGCCAATGTCTTGAGATGAAGGAATCTAGCACTAGATAGAGATATGCATATCATAGATCATATCATAGATCTCTTATTCGTTTGGTTTCCCTGGAGAATCTTTACAGATAACAGTCACAACATACCGTACCTTCCTGCAGCCCAATTGAAAACATTTGCTGAGCCATTGTTTTGCCAAGTGCCAAATGATGTGGACTACAAGAAATGGGACAAAGGGCAGGTTCCATACACGTAGTGCCTCCCCCAAAACACAAAATGTGTGTTAGGTGCTTTACCTCCTTCCTTCACTATGGTCTCCCCAGAAAAATCCAAAGTTGGTAGAATCATTGTCATTTCACAAATACAAAACTTCAAAAGTAAGGAGAGACACACCAGAGGCTGGGCCTGACCTGGGATCTGGTGCAAATGAAATCTGTTTAATATGAAGCTGATGGAGATGGGTTTGCATAGAACAGCTGGACCACATCACAGAAAGCTTCCAGTGACATGAAGGATCCAAACAAAATCTCACTCTCTCTCATCTGTCCCGTGGCATCCACCAAACCAAGAAACAGCACCAACTGACCTAAGGACAGGACTAAAACTGAATTAGAATTATGAATCCAACGTAAGATGGATGTGTGTGGTTAATAGATGAGGAACACACAGTACAAGAGCCAGCATTCTGGTGAAGGACCATTCATAGAAGGCTTAGAAATGGCAGAGCAGGAAAAGCCCTTGACCTAACTGAGAAGTCTAGGGTAACTCCTGTGTTCCCTGCTGAGTGAGGACCATGAAGTGAGTGGGAAGTCCATCTCGCAAACATCCCACGGCAGCATGGGTGGAAGTAATGACAGGAAATGTGCCCTTTTCTACTTTCTTTCCCCCTCACATTACCTATCTGCTAAGAGAACCCTCTGACTTGATTATTGAGATTCTACTCCTCCTCCAGTCTTCAATTTCTGAGATAGGGTGTTCCTCTGTAGTCTGTAGTATCCTCAAATTCAAGTCAATCCTCCTGCCTCATCCTTGTGAGTGTTTGGATTACACAAGTGAGCCCTCATTGCCAATGATACTGTGGTTCTTAATATCAAACTCATTTCACAGGTGAAGACAAAGTTATTTCCTCAGGATGATAGAAAGACACATGGCAGATCTGGGCTATTAGGAAATTTGTCAGGAATATAGCTCCTGTCCTGAACTACCATACCACATTGCCCTCTCAAAAATAGACACACAAGCATACACAATGCTTCCCATGGAAGAAAGTCTGCTTATGGCCATGAGTAAAGAGAACCCCTTCTCACTAAGGACTAATCAGAACAGTGATTCCCCACTTCACCAAACACAGGAGGAAGTAGGGGGTGTTGGGAGCAGGTCAAGTACAATCTGTGATCTACTGATGCCGTCAAGGACCACCAGTTTTTTCTGAAATCTACAGGTAGCATGAGCCTAGTTTAGAAAAGCACTTTCTATTCCTGTATCTTTCCTGAGAGCAGATACCGCCCAAGCCCCCAGCAGATATTGTGGTGATACTGTGTTTCCCAATATATTGTGCATCCTAATAAACTTATCTGGGGTCAGAGAACAGAACAGCCACTAGATATAGAGGCCAGAAAAATGGTGGCACACACACCTTTAATCCTAGCATTAAATCCAAATGTGGATCTCTGTGAGTTCAAAGCTACACTGGAAACAGCCAGGCATGTTGACACACGCTTTAATCCCAGGAAATGATGGCAAGAAACAGAAAGGTATATAGGACGTGAAAACCAGGAACTAGAGCCTGGTTAAGCTTTTAGGCTTTTAGCAGCAGTTCAGCTGAGATTCATTCGAATGAGGACTCAGTGGCTTACAGTCTGAGGAAACTGGATCAGCTGAGGAATTGTTGAGGTGAGGAAGCTGTGGATTTTCTCCTTCTCTGATCTTCCAGGATTCACCCCAATACCTGGCCCTGGGTTTGTTTTATTAATAAGACCATTTAAGATTCATGCTACAAGATATAGTAGATAGATAATCTTTTCCACTCATGTTGGTCAAGTGGGCATTACTTCCCCATTCCTTTGCCACGTGGAAGCCAGTGGATAGATGATGGTGGCAGTCTTCGATGAAAGGTTTGGCATGGGGGCCTCTAAGCAAGATTTTCCCCTCGAATCCACCCTTTAGGGTTCAGCTTAGACAGCACTTCTTCCAAAAGGTATTCTCTGGGTTCCTTCAAACCATCTGGACTGGGGACCTTCCTAGGGTTCCCACAGCACCCTGTATTTTCCTACCCAAGTCTGTTCAGCTGTCAAGGGATGGTTATCTGTATGTCAAATCACTAGCCTGGGAGCCAAGTGAGCAGTCATTGAGTTTCTCTGGTCATCCTTCACTGAGCCTTGGCCCTAGTAGATCATAAGAAGTATGGAGAACTTGGAGGGTTTTTATAAACATATCAGTATTTCCGTCTTGCAGAATCTGTATTTTCCCACACTGGAATGGAAGAGAGTCCCAACACCGAGAGCCTGGGTAATGTTCCTAAGATCACATAACCACATGGAAAGGAATTCCACCCTGCGACTGCCTGGCTCCAGATGCCTGTGCCTTTGGTGGTGGATCAATACCTCTCTGGATCCTCAGCCTCCTCAGAAGCCTGAGTTAGAAAGTAATCTTGAGGTATAGAATTCAGATGGACAGGCCTGGAGGCTAGGCTGGGTGCCCAGATCAGGAAACTGATGTAGCAAATACTTACATTCCTGCATCAGACCATGCTGTGATTTCAATATCTGGTGGGCTGTCAAACAAACCTTGCCAGTCTATGCAGCCCAAACCAACCTGGCCAGGCTCCTTCTCTTCTTGACTTACACCGCAGTGTGGACAAGAAATAACAAGTAGCTAAACACACCAATGCTTCCTATGTGGAGGTGATGAATACTGCAAACAGAGGCGAATTCACTTTGAAAATTAAAATTTTATCTTTCCCACCTTTCTGTCTGCAATAAAATATACTTAGAAAATGAATTTATTTCATTTGAGAGGAAAAGAATTCATTTCATCATTTTGTTTAGACAACATGAGGACATTTGTGCCAAGAATGGCAATATGTCACATCTGTACAAGGCAATGGGTGCCAAAGAGTAGCCACCTACCACGTACAAGGGCAGCGGGGGAGGAGCCTGAATTCCAGCCAAGGAACACCACACAGAGAGGTGAGTTTGTCCAGGCCCTGGCTCTCTGGACTTCTCTATTTCCGGTGCCTACAACGATGTATCCAATCTCACCAGGCCTAGAAAAGAAGAGACACTCTTCTTAGCAGTGTCCCTAGAAAAGAACATCACAGTCACTAAACGCCGAGTAATGTCCATCTATGAGTGTGAAAGAAGATTCCAAGAGGACCATGAAACACAGTTGTTAGCTTTGGGAGCTCCTGCCATGTGGGATTAAAAGATACAGACTTGAGATGTGGAGCTTCACCGGAAGTTGAATGGAAGGGCCCAGGGAAGGGCAAAGAAGAGGGGCAGAGCAACAGGAAGAAGACAGTCATTTCTCAGCAGTGACAAGCCCTCCTGGTCACCACAGTCACGGATCTCTGGGTCTGCAGCATAGATTCTGCCACCCATGGCCTGTGTGACACCTACATGTCCCCTACAAGACAACACCAGACTGGCCAGAGTGCATTCACCTAACCTGTCTTCCCTGGGACGCAACGGTTCCATCAATAACCGCCCTGGAGCCCAATCCTAAGGCCGGAGGCAAAGTGCTGTGAAGCATACAATAAAGGGGGACGTGGGGTCTGCACTGCTGCCAGACCCTGGGGAACAGAGTGGGGAGAGAAGACACAATACTTGTCATTTCCGGAATGAACAGGAATTCAAGCTTCCGATCTGCCACCGCCATTCAGAACACACGAGTTCCCACTCATAAACAAGTGGCAGGATACCACCTACCTAACAAAAAAGGGCTGTGTGGCTACTGCACTGATGTCACATACCTCTAGACTCTGGATACTGCAGGGGTAAAAGGCACAGGCCTTGTCTGGGGGAACAGGAAATAAGTCCTGACACTTCCTGCATTCACACATACATCCTGAAAAATAACATTGCTCAGAGGACTCCTAACTGCAGGGCAGGGACCTGATGTGAAAATGACAACAGAACATGTGATTGTGTCAGCTAAAGGGGAATGATACTCAGAGGAGGCTCTGCAGCCACATGATCAAGAAGGCCTCAGCCTGGCTGTGATGGGACTTTGTTGTACAGGCTCAGTTGCCCTTACCTGACATTGTGATTTCTTTTTGAGTAGATGATATATGCATAGACATAATGAAATATCCTGCGGACGTGACGCCCAGAATTCATTTATATTTCATATACACATTATACATACAACCTACAGGTGATCTTATAGTTTTATACTGATATAATTCATGCATTTTAATACTTCCCTGTGTGTGTGTGTCTGTGTGTGTGTGTGTGTGTGTGTGTGTGTGTGTATCTTACTGTTTGTCTGTGTGCATGCTCAGATTGAACACAGGATCCCACGCATATAAAGTACATATTCCACCTCTGAATCACGTCTCCACCCTGGCTTGCATTGTAACAAGCTGCCAGGAGGAGGTGAGATGTGGAATTTCTCTCTGTGGTTTCATCTGGTGCTAGGAAATTTTCAGGATTTGGAGCATTTCGGTTTGGCAGGCTCAGATTAGGGGTGTTCAAACAGTGCTGTTATCCTCCCTGCAGATGAGGTAGCTGGTGATCATAAAGGCTCAGCCACTCACTGATGGTCACCCAGCTAGTTTTTGATGGTGATCCCTTCTTTTCAGGCTGTCTTTACTAGCAGCCACAGTCATCTATTCTCTCACGACTGCCACCTACTGGCTTGAACTTGCATCCACCATCTTCTACTAAGCAAAGATCTCCCTCCCTTTCATTTCTCACCATCTGGTAAATGTTGGACACAGATTCTGTTTTAGCCCAGGACTATCACTTGACAAGGCAACTATTCCTTGCAATACACAGTTGGATGCCCATGCCAGACCCGAAGAAACATGGTGGGTTTCCTTCCCACCGTCATACTGCATAAAGAGCATGGGCTGGGGCCATGGTCTTAACTTAGCTATCTCATTCAATCCCATGTACAATTTTCACAGTGACTGGCACGAATAAAGCCGCTGTTTCCTCACAAAAGCTATTGACAAAACATTGTCTTAGATGCCAAGGTGGTCTAGGTGAAGACTTGGCTTCTTTGACAGAGAACTGTTGAAATTGTTCCCCTTAAAATACAGAAACTCTTCTTCTCTATTGCTTGTGAGGCTCAGCCACACAAGGATCCTCACTTGATCTTTTCAGACAAGGCTAACAAAACAGCACCCCCACAGAGGTCAAGCACACATCAATACACCGCCAACAGCATGAGTCAATCTAGAGAAACCATATTGAAAGGCAAAAGGAAACCTGTGATCAATCCTAACAACCAATTTCCCGTCCCACAGAGGCCTACTGCCCAGAACCAGCTGTCCTCCAGCAAGCAGGACAACCAGGTAGGCCTTCCCTCTGAGTATCTTCTGCTGCAGCTTGCATCTAGAAAAACCGTCCAAGTCCTTGCTGCTGATACAGGAATCACCGAGCTTAATTTCTCTAAGTTCTATTTCTAAGTCACATCCTGACCCTTATCTTTGTGGGGAATCTCAAGAAGAATTTCTCTGACGTTTCTATCAAATGTCTCCATTGAAAACAGTAACTCTTCAGGGACTCTGTCTCACACTGTAGGGTGGCAGATGGGGTGGGCGGCTGGCAATGCCAAGGAGACAAGTCATCTGTGAGCTTGAACAGACTCGAGCCCAGTGACACCCGGATGCCTAGTGGTAACTACAGGAAATTTGGGTCCCTTCTCCCTGTAAAATCGCCATCCCCAGGTAGAGAAAGACAAATACATCACACTGAGATAGCCCAACCATGATTCTGACACTGAAGAGATGGCCGGCCTTTCTGAGAAAAACAAGGAGGCCTCTCAGAAAGCACCATTCAGGCTCGCCAAGGAGGGATCCTGGTCTAGACCCACATGCGCACCAGCACCCCCCTCCCCGCCCCCCTCCCCGTTCTAGGAGCTTCTCTCTGGGTTTTGCTTTCCCTTGGCCCATCCTAGGGAGCCTCCCTTCTCCTCTCCCCCTCCCCACCCCCACGCCCCCAATTCCCTCTTTTGCCTGTTGCTCCCAGGTCTCCCCCCACCCCCATCTCCTCAGAACCCTCATGCTCTCTTTCTGAACCTCCCTCAAAGCCTTCACTCTCTCACTCTCATTCTCCCTCTGTCTCTCTGGCTTTCTCACGGGTATTTCGTCAGTGAATCAGGTCCTGCAGTCTGGACGCCAGAGTACCACTTCCTTTGCTCAACCCTGGAAACGCAGCTTGGCTCTCAGACACCAAGGGTTAAGACCACCAAGAGGAGCGGTCCTCCAGAGGCTAGAGAGGCCTGGGACTGCGGCCGGCCCGGCTGGTGGCTCCCAGGGGAGGACGACTTTACCCTTAGCTGCCTCTGCTGAGGCCCGAATCTCAGGGTGGTGGGCGGCAGCGATTTTCTCCCCAGGAGTGGTGGCATAGGGCGTCGCGGCCCACACTGTCCAGCTCAGGACCTGTGGTTTCTATGGAGACCGCTGTCCCGACAGGACAGCACGCAGCTGCAGCCCCCAGGACCCCCCTGCAGTGTGGGGAGAGGAGAGATCGCGGTAGCGGAGGTGACGTCACACGGGGGCTCCATGGATTCCAAGAGAGGCCTTGGGAGGCTGCCTGCCAGGGGATGTGCAGATCAGCTGGGGGCCACAGAGTGCAGGGGAAGATGAGTCTCTGCTCTTTGAGTTTCCTAGTCGTCTTTGTGTGAAGGCACGAGCTTAAGGGAAAATGAAAACCAATCAAGTGAAGGAGTTGTTCCAAGGCTGCCAGATGTGGGGATCAAGTGTCTGGGTGGATTTGCTGCTTGCTTTTCAGTTTTATGTGGGAGAAGTTGTCAGCTGTGGTGGCATATGGGGTGGCAGTGGAATCAGGGGAACTCTCAGCCCGCTGTGCAGGGAAATTTTATCTCTATGCCCAGATAGTTTAGAACAAGCTTCCCACCCAAGTGGGATATCCGTGACAAAAAAAAAGTATAGGAGTAGTAGGGCCTGTCATCCATGAGTATTGCAGATCATGACAGAGAATGCATATCAAGACTCAACTGAAAAACACAGCTCTCACCTCAAAGATTGTTCTGGAGCCAAATGGAAGTGACCATGGTCCCGGAACATGCATTTAGGCTCCTCCAAGGTCGGTGTTCCAACATGGAAGCAGCTTCATCAAGTTCTTATAGTAACAACAAAGTTGTGCATGAAGGCATGTTTATAATGCATTGATGGAAACATCAGAGAGGCATGTTTCAGATAGAAGAACACCAGCCACGGACCTCAGATTCTATGTGATAGCACTCTCAGCCCCTTGACTGGGGGAGAAAGGACTAATACATTCTGATAGTTTCTGTTTATAGGGATGCTAGCTAGGTCCAACAGAGAGGTGGATAAGGAATATCTCTTAAGGGGCTAAAGATAGCACAAGAAAAATGTTCACCCAAACTTTCCACAGTCGTTGAATTTTTCCTCAGTCAATCGGCTTTAGTGGACAGAGCTTCTTTCTAGGAATTCTTTCTTATTCACACAGCCTTAACCCAACCTACATGGTGAAGGGTGATTCTTTATGACAGCCATTTACCTTGAAGGAATATTGTGAACAGACCTCTCTACCAGGAGTCAATTCAGGGAAGCAAGTGAAATGCAACATTCTCCATAACATTGAGCAAAGACTTGCCCAGGTAGACACAGGGATCTTCCTTTCTGGTTTTTGTTACATGGTCTTACATACCCTAGGCTGGCCTCAAACTTGATATGTAGTCGGGGATGATCTCAACTCTTGATCCTCCTGCATCCAACATCCAAGTTCTGGGATTACAGGTATGCATCACCACACTGGATTTATTCATTGCTGGGGAATGAACCCAGGACCTGGTTCCGAGTAGGTAAGGACTCTACCAACTGTGGTGTATCCATAGCCCCAAACTTCCCTTTTTCCCTGGGAGTGACTCATTCATTGATAACTCTTTATACTTTGGATAAGCTAGTGTTTCATGGTCTAAATAAAGAAGGCAAAACTGGATGTTATCCTGGAATATCATCCTCCTCCTCATTTTTTATAAACCTTGTAACTTTTTGTGCTAGTGATTGAACCCTGGGCCTCACACAAGCTAGGCAGGTGTTCTGCCACCCAG